TTCACCAGACATATTTGGCGAAGAGACATGAGCGCAGGTAATCTTACAACGAAGTTAAGGACAGTAGGTAGAATGTGGTAACCATGTTCCAATACCGAAATCGGAATTAAACAACCGCGGGTGCGCACCAAGGGGATTGCCAAGGACGCCCCTCAAAAGAAGAGAGGGGCAGTCCAATGCTTTGTTTATGTGACTGCCTGACGTTCGGCGGTTAACTTAGGATTTGTCTGTCCCTTGTACTCGTGGGCTGGCCTTCGGGCCATGCTCAGGTCTATTCGCTTCGTTCTCTTTGAAGTACATATATCCAGCCTCATTCACTGCCTTCTTCCGCCCTGTAGGAAGTCTCAGGACGCTAAAATGCATTACTTTTGTCAATGTGACTGTAGCGTCCCGAGGCTTCCTATAGGGTGGTAGAAGTCATAATTGAGGTTGAAAACATGTATTCCGAAGATGACAGGGTAAATAGGGTCCGAACGTGGTCCGAAGGCCAGCCCATGTGTACAAGGGCCTGTCGAATTCTAAAGTGATTGCCAAACGTTAGGTAGTCACATAAAAAACATTACAGTTACTACCCATGGGTGTGGCGGTTAATTTAGTGTTGTCTTGCTCTTGTGGATGTGAGCTGACCTTCAACCCAAGCCAAGGTCTGACCTCTCCACTATTATCCCCTTGAATGCATGCATTTTTCCTAACTTAATGCCTTCTTCTAATTGATAAGAGTAATAAGGGATTCTACATTAGTGGTAGCTGTATCGCCCTGAGACTTCCCATCAGATCGAAGAAGCAGTAAGTAGAGGTGGGTGTATGTATTTAACAGAGGACAACGTAGCTAAGCCTGAATAGGGTCCGAAGGCCAGCCCAAGTACACAATAACCACACAAATCTTTAAGTGTCAGTTTAATGTCAGGTGGTCTTATAAAAAAGCGTTGCTGCAGCGAAAAGCGAATTCGATGTTGCTGCGGTTTTATTGTCCGTGGATAGCGACATGCTTTGTGGCGTTATGATGCAAATTACTTGGTTAAATTGCGTTTTGTGATGGAAGGGTGCGACACAATCTGGAAGCCCTTAAAGCCGAGTTC